TGCAAAATGCCATACATACAAAACTTCATTACAGCATTGTTTATATAGCACAATTTAGGAAACAATCTGAAAGTTATGAATAAGCAATTAGTTACAATAAAGTCTAGGCCAGGCATGGCGGTTCATGCCTGTAACCCTAGCACTTTGGGAGGCCAAGGTGGAAGAATCACTTAAGCCTAGGAGCTCGGGAACAGCTTAGGCAACATGAAAAGACCCCATCTCTATTGAAAAAGTATTAAATTTCCAAAATTAAAAAAAAAAAATTTAAAAAAAAAGTCCACCTGCAAGGTTCCATTAAACAGTCCTTTGAAAAAAAAAATAAAAATGAGCCAAAGTGGGACACTATGGTGCATGCCTGTAATCCCAGATACTGGAGGCTGAAGGTAGAGGATCACCTGATATCAGGAATTTGAGGCTGTATGTATACAGTTTATGATAACACCTGTGAAAAGCCACTGCACTCTAGCCTGGGCAACCAAGTGACAATCTGTCTCTTAAAAAGAAAAGAAAAAAAAAAAAAGAGTCAACTTGAAGATACACAGGTGGTTAGAGGGGAAGAGAAGGGAATCAAGGTATTTGCATGAGAAGCAGCAGCCTAACTTATGGCAGAAAGTTGCTCTGGTCTTTTTGTAAGGATACACAATAAAAATAGTGGTTGAGGTCAGGTGCAGTGGCTCGCACCTGTAATCCCAGCACTTTGGGAGGCTGAGGCAGGTGCATCACTTGAGGAGAAGAGTTTGAGACCAGCATGGGCAACAAGGTGAAACCCCATCTCTACTAAAAATTAGCCAGGCGTGGTGGCACGTGCCTGTAGTCCCAGCAACTTAGGAGACTGAGGCAGGTGAATCACTTGAACCTGGAAGGTGGAGTTTGCAGTGAGCCAAGATTGTACCACTGCACTCCAGCCTGGGCAACACGGGGAGACTCCATCTCAAAAAATAAACAAAAAAAAAAACAGTGGTTGTCTAAGCAGGAGAACTGGAATGCTGAAGGCCAGATGAGGGATTCTCTATGTATCCTTCAGAGCCTTTCAAATATGCTCTACGTGCGTTTCCTAGTTAATAACAAAAAATACATAAGCAGAGTAGGCTCACAAAAAAGAAATAATGTAAAAGACTCATGTCTTGTTTTTAAATGAGCTTATGGCTGGAAAATGAGACTAGCTTTAATTTTTAGCTCAGACATTGGTTCAGATAGAATATACTAAGCAGTAACAATGTCAAATTATTACTCATTGAGATTAAGGCTCCTCTATTCAGTTAGTCTATCAATATTTCAGTATCTACTATGCGCCAAGGATTGGTCTAGGCATGAATGAGCAATATGTGGGACATCCAAGAGTCCTTAACTTCATGAAGGTTTAATGGCGAATAGAGAGAAATAAAGAGTAAATAACGTAACTTTGAACAGTAATAAGCACTTATACAGAAGAAAGGGAGATAGGATAAAATTGCGGGGGAAGGAAAAGGAAAACTGGTTTATATGGGACAGGTTAGGTAGAGGGTATGACATATGAGCTAAGAACGGAACAAGCGGACAAAGCAAGCAATGCAACAAACAGGAGGAAAGTCCTGTGACTGGAATAAGCTCAACCATTTATTGTTCAGGGTACACCAAAGCAACAGTGTGACTACAGTGGAGTGACCCAAGGAGAGAAGCGCAGATGCACTCAGAAGTAGGCAGATCCCAGATGAATGTATGGCCTTATAGCTAATGGCAGGAAAAGGCAAGATTCTACTGTAAGTGTGATGGAGAACCTCTACAGAGTTTTTAGCAGGGGAGTAACACGGTCTATATTTTAAGAAGATAACACTGTTGCTCCAAATTAGGCTAATACAGCAGGCCAGGCAGTAAGTGATGTAAGTGAACAGAGATTTGAAAGAGACGGAGGGAAAAGTGTCTGATTTAGTATATATATTGAAAGCAGAACCTACAGAATTTGCTACTGGATTAGATACAGGAATCTAAATGAGATAGTAACTCGGTGAATAGTAGTCCAGAAAATCATCTTGTATTTGTAGAGTTAGTCATTTTACAGTAACAAGAGACAGGGGAATGTGACACTAATCAAGATCCAAATTCTGCCTCTTACCAGCTTTACCTTAGGAAAGTCATTTAAGTCGGTTTCTAGACTGCAAAATATATTCACAAAAATGTCTGTAAGAATCAAATGGTTAAGAAATCTACAAATGTAAATAATGATCATTATAAGTTAGAAAGCATCATATTAACAGTCATGCAAATCAAACCATCTTATTTTAATATTTTCATTAGATGATAATGGTAATACTGATGTTATAATCAACACCAAATTTCATCCTTTTTGAAAGTCAAAGGTCAGGCGGGGCAAAGTGGCTCACGCCTGTGATCCCAGCACGTTGGGAGGCTGAGGTGGGTGGATTGTTCAAGGTCGAGAGTTTGAGATCAGCCTGGGCAACATGGTGAAACCTCGTCTCTACGAAAATTAGCTGGGTGTGGTGGCATGCATCTTGCAGTCCCAGCTATTCAAGAAGCTTAACTGGGAGGATCATCTAAGACCAGGAGATCAAGGCTGTGGTGAGCCAAGATCCTGCCACTGCACTGCAGCCTGGGAGCGGAGTGAGATGAGTCTCAAAAAAAGAGAAGACAAGAGAAAAGAAAAGAGAAAAGAGAAAAGAAAAGAAAGTCAAAGATCACCCAGAAATAAAACAAATTAACAGTTCAATCAAGAAAGTCATGTCCCTATTGCCTCAGGACAATACTGCTACCCCCATCCACCACATAAAACTTTGTATAGTGATTGACAGAAAACAGGCAACTTTTAAAAATAAATTCTGATTTTTTTTAAAGCATTGTCACTGATTATGGAACAACCTACGTAACACAAGCATGGACACTTTTGAAAATCTAGTATTTTAGTCTTCCGTAAGGATTGGAGAAAACCATCCTGTTAAGCTATAAATGACATTAAACTAATAAGATAAAACCCAAATCAAGGTACCATTCATTAGATAGATGTTCTCAACAAGATACCGTAAAATTAAGATTATATATCACAGTATGAGTTACTACTGTCTTATTTTGAACAGCAAAATGTAAATACCCAGTACAAATTAAATTACCGTGTGCCAAATGAATTGAATCATGAGGACTTCATCTTATTGCCTTAAACCATTTCTGTAAATTTATAAACAAGGTTCCACAGAATTTATTTTTTCATCCAAGGCTTTCATATTACCGGGCATATCTTCATAATCAAAAATAGAAAAATGCATGTTAAATGTTTAGTTCACTATGTATTTAGAGAATTATCATGAAAGTCAACTTCCATTATGTACTTAGTCAATCAGCTAAGTAACAACAAAAACAAGGATATTTGGTAAATGGCTCTATCACTCCCTATTCATTTTTCAACTGGGGCCTCAATAAACATGATCTTTGGGGACCATGTGACTGCATTATAACTAAAACCACATTGTAAGGACCTGCCAATACATATGACAATTAAAACTCCTTGGACAGAATCCTAGATAAATCCACACACAACAAATTTCGGACTATGAAGGTTCACATTATTAGACTCCAAGGCTCCCTGACATTCTGTTATACTTCTCTCATTTCTAATAATTTCTACCATACGAAAATATCTTATTTCTCTGCTTCAAGCACCCTTAGGTCAGTGACATCACCCTCATCTCAGATATATTTAAATGCAATTGGATGAAGCAGTATACAGTACATCATCCAATTGAAAGTCTTCCACTTAGTATGCACCTCCTCATAGATTTTACAAGAATGAACAAGACTAACATACACGTTCACCAGGTTATATCAAGCAAAATGATGCTGCAATTGAGTCACTTTAACTGGCGCATTTAGCCACACAAATGTTCAACTAATTTCCTTCATAAAAACTGACACAAAAATTTAAGGTGTAGTTGTTGTGGATGACAAGGAATATCTCACATCGGAAGACTTGTCGGTATTTGGTGAAGACTTTACAAAATCAAAGAATTGAAAATGTCATGGTTCCGTATATACTTGTCAAAGCACGGTATTCATAAATAGTCAATTAATAATTAAAGCACACAAAATTGAGAGGCAAAAGATTTCACGAGATCCCCCATAGAGGCCAAGGTAGGAAGATCTCTGAAGCCAGGAGTTTTGAGATCCGCCTGGGTACTATAGCGAGACCTCATGTATACGAAAAAGAGAGGAGAGGAGAGAAGAGAGGAGAGAGAATCCCCCATAACTGCGGCCCTCCCGACCCTTGTGTTAAAACTATTTCCTCGGAACAGCTCTGAAAGAGTTTGCCAACCACAGTAAAATCACTTCGCAGAGATAAACGAGCGGAAACGCATTTAGAAGAGAGAGACCGCGGAAGCAAGGGCAGCGGGGCGCGGACCCGTCCCCGGACTCAGACAGCCGCGGCAACCAGGGGCGAGCATGTGCTGACCGCGGCAAGATGCGCGGGCCTCCCAGAGTCACTTCCCGGGGCGCACGGCCCCGCCCGGCCTGACCCTCCGGGTTCATTCATTCTGTACCCGCGGCTGCCGCACCTCCGCGCCCCGGTCGGGGCCGAGAAGAGGGGCTCGGCTGCCGAGGGACCTTGTCAGGCCACAACCCCCGCCAGGAGTCCGAGCCCCGCCGCGATTCCCGCGCGCCCGCGGCCTCCGGCGGGGGGTGGTCTCAGAAGCTACGGAGGCCAGCGCCCAAGCCCAGAGACCCGCAACCTTGCCGCCCCACCCTCCGCCGGGGCGCCGGCCAGGACTCCCTAGCCCGACGGGCGCGCCTGGAAGCCCCGGGTCCCCGCTGTCCCGCTGCCCCGCCGCGGCCGGAAGTCTCCCCGGCGCCCCCTCCCCAGCACCCGACTTCCCTCGCCGCCGCGGCCAAGCCCTCTCCGAGCCGCCTCGGGCCTCCCAGCGCGGGCCGCGGGCCGAAGGCAGCGAGAGGCCGCGCTGCCTGCCCAGCTGAGCCGAAGAGAGTCCAGCGAAGAGCTGGAGGCTGGCCTGGGCGGTTACCTTGATGATCCTGCGGGGCAGCCCGGCCATCTTGTCAGAACCCGAGTTCGGCCTCTGGTCTCGTCTCCGGCTCCGCTCGCCTCACGCACGAGTGGAAGTCCCAGGCTCCACTTCCGGGGGACGTTGCCGCGCCCGTCGCCGCAGCCGCCGCCTAGGCCCCTCGGGAAATGTAGTCCCTGCTCAGGCGCGGGCTCGGGCACTGGCGGGCTTCCCTCCGACCTGGCCCCCTCCCCCGCGCGCCCCGCCCCAACCCCGGCCTGGGATGGCGGAAGTGACGCTCCGCGGCGGGGCAGGGACTTTGGAGACGCCTCGCGGGGAGGCGCGGGGCTCCGGCGCTCGTGGCCGAGCCTGCCCGCGACGGTGGTACCGCGCGATTCGCGCGCGCGCTCTCTTAACCGTGGCCACGCCCGCGCCGGTGGACGACGTAACAGAGGCCTGGCCTACGACGTAGCCCATTCATTCATTCACGCGTTCGTTCATTCAGTGCAGCCTGCATTGCGCGCGTTCCCTACTGGCTCTGCAGTGAACGACTGCGGTGGGGCTGATCGTCTTGCTCCTTCCTCAAAGGGAGGGCAAGACCGAAACTCAGTGGCAAAGCTCTGACTGGGGGTCTCTCCAGTTACTCCCACCCTGTTGGGGAGTTTTGATGTTTAAATTGTATAAATCGGGCCTCTGACACGCCCCGTAGGCCCAGGGTGGACTGAAGGAAAAGGGTTTGGAGCCAGCTGGAGGCGGTAAGACCTAGACCTAACGGTTGAGACTGAGAATTGTTAACAGAAAGAATGACCAAGGAGAGGTTTAAAGAACCCAGAGTAATCCGTAAACCAGAGATTACCCAGAGTGCGAGGTCCTATGAGAGAATTAGAATGGGGGTGCCCGAAAATTGAATTGTTGGGGAAGCATTTTATCCTGATGACGGATGGCTTGCTGTGTGATGGACTGTTTGCAAGCATTTTACTTCACCTTCACAGCAATAGTATAGAGGAGGTGTTGTTTCCATTTTACAAATGAGGCTTAGAGAGTTAACTTTTTCCAAGGAGCTGTTTTGTCCCCAGGCAGATCTGCCAAGACCTGGCCCTTAACTACTTAACCACAGTGTTTCCTAGCACACTGACAGTAGATGGTGAATAAATGAAGACGGGACTGACCACGCCTTCCAGAAACTTAGATTCCAATGGAGAAGAGAGACCAGTAAACAATTAGTTACAATCCAATGTGTTAAGGGCTGTAGTAGAGGTTCCTCCCAGGTGCTGTTTTAGCAGAGGCATTAACTGCTTGAGAACTCAGGGAAGCCTTAAATAAGTGGAGTCCTAAATGATGAGTAAGAACCTATCTGACCTTGTAGGGAAGAGTATGCCAAGCATAGGAAATGGCCTGTGAAATGGCATTGAGCTATGAGAAAGAAAAAATAGTGCACTAAAGAAACTGGAACTCTGAATACAAGAAACCAACTAAGAACAATAAGAAATATTTTGTGCCGGCGCTATGCTAAATGATTACATAAATTTAATACATCATTTAATTATAAAACAGATGAGGTAGGCTCTATTATTAACAGAACGTTTTAGATGAGAAGCCAAGGTTCAGAGGTAATAATGAGAATTTCAAATAACCCGAAGTCTGCAGTAGGTGGTTCTGTGACTAGAAGAATCTGCAAAAGTAAATGAAACTGGACAAAGATACTTTTCAGAATATTTTATAGAGGACCCATGATAATTCATGCTGGTAGGCAGAAAGGCAGAGTGCTATTGTGTTGGGAGTGTGTAGGTCTGCAGTCTGGGCAGGGCTTGGCAGGAAGGGGCACTCTGCTTGTGCTGCATCATTCTGTGCAACCAGAAGATTGGCTTCCATGATGGTTCACAAGGCCGGCAAGTTGGTGCTGGCTGTTAGTTTCACTCCGAGTGGGCCTCTCCCCGGGGCATCTTGGGCTTCCCCATTGCATGGTGGCTGGGCTCCAAGAGTAAGTGTTTTAGCAAGCTAAAATGGGCACTAAATCTCGTTTTTTGACCCAGCCATGGAAATCACATGGCCTCGTGGAAGTCACATGGCATCACCATAACCATAATCCATCAGTCAGCCAGCCACAAAACCCCCCCTGTCTCAAGGGCAGGGGACGTGGACACCACCTCTTGAAAGGGGAGCTGCAAGAGTCTAGAAACTAGCAGCATATATGTGATGGAAAGTATGGTTGTGGCCAACTTTGGAAAGAAACTGCCACTCATAGCTGCCTTGGAATCACCTAGGTCACTGTTTTTTGTTTTTGTTTTTGTTTTTGTTTTTTTAAAAAAAGCATTCCTGCAGCTGGAGCCCTTCTCCCAGGGATTCTAATTCTCTAGGTCAGTGCTGAGACCTGGGAATCTGCATTTAAACATCAGGGGTAATTTTGATAGATACTAACACTTAACGGCAAAAAATTCTGAACAAACGAGAACAAGAAACGATAAGCAAAGCAAAAAAAATTTTTTGAGACAGAGTCTCTCACTCTGTCAACCAGGCTGGAGTGCAGTGACATGATCTTGGCTCACTGCAACCTCTCCCTCCAAGGTTCAAGCAGTTCTTCTGGCTCAGCCTCCAGAGTAGCTGAGATTACAGGTGTGTGCCATCGCCCCCCGCTAATTTTTGTATTTTTAGTAGAGATGGAGTTTCACCATATTGGCTAAGCTGGTCTCGAATTCCTGGCCTCAAGTGATCCGCCTGCCTCCGCCTCCCAAAATTCTGGGATTACAGGTGTGAGCCACTCCAACCGGCCTCCTTTTGTCTATTTTCTATCAGAACAGACAATAAATATCATTGAGGTTAAGAGTGAGAGCTCTGGAGTCCCTAGTCCGGGTTTGAAAACACACTTTGCTTAATTTCTCTGTCCTTCGTTTTCTTCACCTATTAAATATACTTACCTTCATGTGGTTGTTGTGAAGTTTAAATTATGTAATTTGTATACGGTACTTAGAACAGTACACAGCACTTAGCAATCACTCATTTTTTTGTAATTTGATAGAACCATGTACATTTTTCTTTAGGGAACCATATTTTTAAAACTTGATAGTATAACCTTGTTTGGTAGAGATTGGATTGTTGGCATAAATCCATCTGAGAGTATTAACACTTTAACATACACATTTTTCCTGTCTCTCTGAATTGTTTTTTCTGTTCTTTTCCCTCTTAAGGACAGCTCACACTATACTCATCTGGAAACGAAAATCTGAACTTCTGATTCATATAAAGCCTGTGGAACAGGATACATTCTAGAAGAGCAGGTTGTCACACGGCTGAGATATGGTTCTCAAATTAGAAGGCTAGTTAAGAATCCTATTTCTGTATCTAATACAGAGATAGATAACAAAACAGTGGTTACCCAGAGCAGGTTGTGGGGTGGAGTGATGGAGAATCAGATATGTAGATCAAAGGATACAAAGTAGCAGATATTTAGGACAAGTCTAGAGAGCTAATGTACATGAGAGCTATAGGTAATAAGTTTACACTATGTACGAGATTCATGTTAAATAAGTAGATTTTAGCTATTGTTGTCACAAAAACAAAAACATAGGTAACTATGTGAGATGATGGGTATGTTAATTTGCTTCACAATAGTAACCTGTTTACTATTGATACATGACGTATTCCATAACATCATATACCTTCAATATACACAATAAAATAATTTTGTTTGGCCAGGCGCAGTAGCTCACCCCTATAATTCCAGCACTTTGGGAGGCTGAGGCAGGTGGATCACTCGAGGTCAGGAGTTCAAGACCAGCCTGACCAACATGGTGAAACCCTGTTTCTACTAAAAATACAAAATTAGCTGGGTGTGGTGGAGCATGCCTGTAATCTCAGCTACTTGGGAGACTGAGACAGGAGAATCTCTTGAACCCGGGAGGCAGAGTTTGCAGTGAGCCGAGATGGCGCCATTGCACTCCAGCCTGGACAACAAGAGCTAAACTCTGTCTCAAAATAAATAAATAAATAAATTAATTAATTAAAATTTTTCTGAGGCAGGGTCTCACTTGTTGCCCAGGCTGGAGTGCAATGGTACAAACATGGCTTACTGCAGCCTCAGCCCCAAACTCCTGGGCTCAAGTGGGCCTCAGCCTCCCAAGAAGCTGGGACTACAGATGCACACCACCACGCCTAGCTAATTTTTAAATTTTTTTAGGAACAGGGTTTCACCATGTTGCCTAGAATGGTCTCGAACTCCTGGACTTAACCCCTCCCACCTCAGCCTTCTGACACCATTCCTGGCCAAAACTTATTTTTAAAAATCCTACTTACTATACCCATAAAATATGGATAAAATAGGATATCTAAAAAACTAACTGATCATGTACCTCATAAATATATACACTTACTATGTACCTACAAGACTTTTTTTAAAAAAACTAATTGGATTCCTTCAGAGGTGGGATATTTAGCAGCTAGAGAACAAATGTAAAAGGGAGGCTTTTTACTGTATACTCTTATACCATTTGAATTATGAATCATGTGAATGTTTTACCTATTCAAAATGTGAAATATGTATTCAGTTCACTAATTTCAATAGATTGCTCAAGAGGTATTGAAAGCTCTAACAATGCTGATCAGGAATTACATAATACACTCAAAACTCAGCAAAAAGATGCTGGTCCAGGTCCATGGTACTGAATAAATGATGACAGTGGCAGATAGCTTCACTAAGCTGAGCAGTGCTAGCCATATCTCTTTTTTTAAATTTTTTTTTTTTTTTTTTTTTTTTTTTTTTTTTAAGAGACAGGGTCTCACTCTTGCCCCAGGCTGGAGTGAAGTGACGCAGTCATAATTCACTATAATCTCCAACTCTTTCCCACTCAGCCTTCAGCACTTAGCAATCACTCATTTTTTTGTAATTT